GGAGCCCCATTAGCATGAATGCTTTTGGGAGGCTTCACCCAGAGCTGTTCTCCATCACAGCTGGAAATCTAAAATTGCAGCAAGAAAAACCACCTCCATCGCCCGCCGTGGAACCAAGAGGGGGTAAGAGGGCTCCAGTTTCGAGGGATTTGTCCCCAAAAGCTGTGGGAGGGTCAGGCAGGCTTACCATCATCGGTCTCCACGTAGAGTCGCAGCCCCAGGTTGTATTTCCGATCCACTAACCAGTGGTTGCTGGCAGCAGTGACGTCAAACACCAGCCAGCCCTCGGTCCCGGCACGCAGGTCCTGGACATCCAGCAGGAACAGGTCAGACTCCCTGTGGAAACGGGGAAAAAAACCGAGTGGGTGAGTAATGATACCCAAAGGGCACCAGCACCAGTGAGAATTCTCGGAAATGAGCCCTCGGTGCCTGTGTCCGTACAGGTCCCAGCACAGCAGGGTCAGGACGGCGGCTCCCAGTGCCTCTGGCTGTGCCGGGCACAATGGTGACACCCTGACAGCTGCCTGGGAAAAGTGTCCTCCCAGCCCTGGCCGAAAAGCTGGGGTGTGGCATTGCCCGGTGGGAAAGCGTGGGAACAGCCGGCCCGGCAGCGCAGCTTCCCTCGGCGGTTGCACGGAAGGGAAAGTGCTGCGGCTGGTGCTTGTGGGGGGCCCCATCCTCATCTTCATCCCCGTCCCTGTCTTCATCCCCATCCTCGTCTCCATCCCTATCCTCACCACCTTCATCCCCATCCTCCCCATCCTCATCCCCATTCCCATCCTCCCCATCTTCATCCCCATTCCCATCCTCATCCCCATTCCCATCTTCATCCCCATCCTCACCATCTTCATTCCCATCCCCATCCCTGTCTCCATCCCCATCCTCATCCCCATCTATGTCTCCATCCTTGTCCTCATCATCTTCATCCCCATCCTCATCCCCATTCCCATCTTCATCCCCATCCTCATCCCCATCCTCACTATCTTCATTCCCATCCCTATCCCTGTCTCCATCCCCATTCTCATTCACATCCGTATCTCCATCCTCACCATCTTCATCCTCATACAATCCTCACCATCTTCATCCCCATTCCCATCCTCATCCCCATCCCCATCCCCATCCCCACCCTCATCCCCATCCATCTCCATCCCCATCCTTATTATCTTCATCCCCATCCTTATCCCCATTTCTATCACCATCCTCACCACCTCCATTCCCATCCCAATTCCCATCCCCATCCTCACCATCCTCACCATCTTCATCCCCATCCTCATCCCCATCCATGTCTCCATCCCCATTCCCACCCTCACCATCCCCATTCCCACTCCCCTCCCCGTCCCCGTCACCTGTTGGCGTGCTCGGTGGCGATCTCGTAGATGCTGATGTGGAGGGTGTTGTTGCCGTGGCGGGGGACACCTCGCGCCTTGTAGATGCGGAACTCGGCGGCCGTCACCGACTCTCCCGTGGGCACCTGGGTCAGGTCGAACCTGAACTCCTTCCAGTACGGCTTCGGGGAGAAGATGTCCCGGTCCTGCTCCACTGCGGATCGGAGGGCTCAGGGGGGCTGTGCCGGGCTGCGGTGGCTCCCGCTTGACCCCCCCCCCCCCCCCACGGC